TTTTAAAAATCCTGTGGAATCCGGCAAGATGATAAAACCTGATGAAATCGGGAGAAGAATTAATAAAATGTTCCTTGCTTTGCAAATATATAAGTTAAAAAAAAATAACATAGGAGCACCGACCACTGAGCTGAAGAATGGAGCTGTTATAAAGGAAAAACCGAAGCAAAAAAAAAAAGAAGTTTTGTTTGCTCCGCTAGTAAAGGAAAAAAAAAAAGCTCAGCTATTGAAAATCTACTTCAATGTGACAACGTTTCTGCATAACAGCTAAAGTGATTCTTCTGCAAGATTGTGGTATAGCAATTAATTCAAAATTTATTGGGAATCTGTGCTCTTCAAAAGTGATTTGTAGTGAAAAATATGATCATGTATATGAGTGAAATCTTGTGAGCTATGGAAGCATTAACTGAATTTGATTTCCATTTAAATTAGTGAATGAAATACTAATAGATATTATTATCATAATTATAGAAAACTACATTGGAGGATAAAAATTTTATTAAATCTGATTTCCGGTTTAAATAATTTGAATAAGTTTTAATAAGAAATAATATTTATTTGGTAAATGATATTTATATTGACGATTTATTATTTTGTTGATTTAAATCTGTACTTTTGTTCTAAAATTAATTTTGAAATATTTCATAATTACAAAAGTAATTAGTGTTTAATTAGCAAAAATGATTATTGATTTTGATTATAAGCTATTAATTTTTCTTATCATTGATATTTCAATTGATAATATTTACTTTTTGTGTATGGAGCTTATTTTTATTGTGAAACTGAGTTTTAATATTTAATAATTTGAAAATATTTTTAAAATTTCTTACAATTATTAAAAACAAAATTTCCCTTATGGAATTTTATTTTGGGGGGTCAATAAATTCATTAATTTTATTAGCATAAAAATGTTAAGGATATTTATTCTCGTTTTTATTGTTTTATGTGTTTCCATGAGTAATATTTAATAATTGAAATTTATTTTTAATGTTTCAAAGGCATTACAGTGTGGCAAAAATTATAAATTAAATATGGAAGTATCAAGACATGTTGAAATTAATACAAATAATTTAGAAAATGGTTAAAATTCTAGTTTTTAAAATTTAATTAAGATAAACCCGAAGATCAACCAGACATATTAATGCTTGAGTCCAACGTTGGTGTTCAATTCACACAGTCTGTCTCAGTATTTTCCATAAACAAAGTTTCTTTATTGCTGAACTTTTTTCAAACATAAAGATAAGAAAATGATCAAACACAAATTGACAATTAGTATCCGTATACATTAAAAAATACGTTCAAAGTAGAAATGAAAATATTATAATTGCCTAACACCCAATTGTGAGTAATTAAACTACCAATTTAAATCTTGACACAAAAAGTACTTTAAAAATATATCCAAATTAAAAATTTTGAAAAAATTTACGTCCAAAATGGAAGAAAAATCTTTGTGAATGTAAAAAAAAACTAAAGGTAATTTGAAACTCAACCACACTTGCACTTTAGATTAAAAAATATGAAAAATAACTAGGTCTGTCAAATTTAAAAGACTGATTTACTTTATACCATATTAAGTTTGAAAGCTTTCATTGGATTTCAATTAGTGATTGATTGTGTTAAACAGGTTGTAATACAAAATCTGAGAAAACTGATCACCGTTTCTGATTATAAAAGCAACTTGTCCTTACACACTTTTCCTGAAATCCTGGTTAATGATTTCAAGCAAAATACCAATAAAGAAAATAAATGTAAAGAAAGCAAAAATAAATAAAAGAGAGAAAAGAAAAAATAAAAGAAAGAAACGAATGTCAACTTATATTTTCATATTTTTATGTATCATGTTTTTGAATATTTGCATTTTTAAAATGCATATGGAAATTTACAATTATAAAGGAAAGAAAAGGTAAGAATAGTATTTATTGATGAAGGACTGTCATTAAGAAATATAAACATAACTTTGAACTGAAAAAAACTGTTAAAAATGAAAATCAAACTTTTAAATTTGCTGGTAGCACTACTACTGATTTGTTTTCTAGAATATTTTAATTGTGTTAAAATTTTTACCCTGTGTACAAATGTGTATTTTTTATAATTCATATTACTTTTATATATTGTTCATATTGCAAATTTTATTCTTTTCATTTTAATTGCTCTTCTATCATAGGGAAAATTTTGCAATTAGGTGAAAATTTAAGAAAAAATATTTTTTTTTAGATGGTGATTAAAATTTTTAGGGAGGGAGGATGTAACATAAAAAGCTTCAACTAATCTTTTTCTGTAAATCTTTTTCTTAATTTTTCATTCAAAACGAATCGTTCTTTCTCACACTTTAAAATTCACATCCTGTCTTTTAATCTACTTTTAGTTCAAGTATGCTTTAATTAACATTCCCCCCTTTGCTAACTCCTAAGAAAGCTAGGCGAAATTTCTCTAGCCCTATTTAATGAACCAATAACAATTACTAAGATTTTCCTTATTCCCTAAAAGGAGACAGATTACAAATTTACTTTGTAAGATTTTCCCTAACTTTTATTGAGGAGCACAACAATTTTGAGTCACTTAGATATTCATTTTCTCATTCTAATAAGTTATTAAAATTAATTTGCTCTTGTTTAAAATCCTGTGCCTGTTTGTCCTACTCACACGACTGCCAATATTATATATATATATTAATGATATATACTATTTATTATATATCTTTATTTGTTAAATTTTGTATCAATTTAATAAATTAAATATTGAAGTTTCACATTTCTATGTTGAGAAAATTTTACACATTTCTTTTTTTTTCTCCTTAATTAAAAAATATTCGTAGTATTATATTGCTTTGTTTTTATATCCTATTTATTTCATACTTATTTATTAACTGCTTAATAAAGCAATAAAATTTTTACACTTGATAAACAATTAGAAAATGCAAGCATTTTTTTTTAATGTTTCAAAGTAAAGTAAATTGCAATTCTCAATAAAATTGAAAATTACATTAAGTCTTATCAAGTTTAAATAAACCATATACCTGAAAAATATCTAAGATTGAAATAAAAAGCTAATATCTGGAACATTCGCAAGTCATAGATGCAGATTATAGTAGGAAATACTATGTTCTTCATAAATTACCTTATCACATGTTTTAATAGTTATTTTTAATTTACTGATAATAGGCTTAAATGAACAAATAATTCCATTCAGCTAGTTTGGACTTGTTAATATTAAGATTTCTGTGCATATTTTCTGAATTAAACTAACTTTTAAAGTAATCATTTGAAATTTTTTTCCTTTTTTTTTCATTAAATTTTACTGTTTAGAAGTTTGAGAAAAAAAACTAATGCTTTAACATTTTAAGTTTTTTTCTCATTAAAATATTGCTTTCATACGGAATTTTAATATCTTTTATAAAAATTGTAAAATGCGTACTTCTGATGTTGTGTTAATACCTAAGCTCCCAGTCGACATTTAATGCTGATTTCCCAAACTACAAAAAATACTAACTTAAAGATAAAAAAACTAAGGAAGTGTTATTAAACCTAAATGAAATATGAACTATGAATAAAAAAAAATACTGATTTTTTTTTTCTTCTCAATTTTAAAAACAGATTTCAAATGTTGTAGCTGATCTTTGAAACGCTTTATTGTTCAGTTATTAGTTTTGAATTAAATTTCATTACGCTTTATCACTAATTTGAATAATCATTATAATGATAAATCAAGCCTGTATTTTTGGATAAAATTAATTAGATTTTTTTGTTAAACAATTGATAAAATATTTGATTTTGTGACTCGTCCCCACCAAACTTAAGTTTTGGAGAAAAAAAGCAACTTAGCTTAAAATAAATTATTATAAAAGTATGCAACCAAGATAGTTATGTCTTATTCAAAATGATGATAAACATTCTATTTTTAATTTAATATTGGGTATGTTGAAAATTCATTATAAGTAAAAAATTTTTGGCAAATTTATAAATATTGTCCTTTAAACTTGCCTGTTCTTGTATCTATATTTCTTTTTCAATATATTTTTATTATTTTTCATTTTATTTGCAGTTATTCTGTTGCCTATTAAAGAATTTTAAAACTTCTGATTTCTCAATTTCAACTTTCTGTAAATAGGTGTGCTTCCAGTTAAAAAGCATGAGAGTCCTTTTTTTAAGCTATTTAGATACAAAATAGCATTAATTGCTGCTGAAATTCTTCTAACTCTCATTTGAAAATTTTATGGACAAGAGACATTTATAAATGTATGATTCAATTTCTATGGAAGCAACTAATTTGAAAATCTTGACCCTTTCAGGAAACTTTTCTACTTGAATAAATTTTAAAAAGTACCAAACCACTTTGAGGCACAAAAATAGTCAATAATACATTGATTTTTTTACCTACCTTTTTAAACAAATATTGTACTTTAGTTTTAAACTCTTTCTTCTACTATATTCCAGATTGCTTTGGTATATTTAATTATTGTCCTTCTTCAAATAATCTCTTAACAGCAATTTCCTCTTTTGAATTTCATATAGAAAATTTTAAAATTATAACATTCATGTTTCTGAACAAAGAGGAACTATATTTAAATTTGGAAAAAAAATGTTTTAATTTTATGTTGCATGATTACCTTGCTGAAATCAGTAAAATATAATTAAAGTTTATAACATTTTTAAAAATTTTTTTTATTTATTATTATATAAATATTTGAAAGTGTTCACCACTTTTTTTAGTTAAAATATTTGAATATTAAAATCAATGTCTAACTTTATTTGAAATTAAGATGTTACACGTAATTTGAAGTATTATATAATGCGAACATTTTAATTTTATTATTTATTATTAGTATAAAGTGTGTTTCGGATTCTTTTTAGTGTAACTAATTTGAAAATTTCTTTGCCAATATTATGTTATTTTTGATGATTTTTCTTTTTTCTATATTTAAAAAACAATAATTATAGAAAGAAGGTACATTAAATAGATATGTTTTTATAAAATTGTATTTAATGTAATCAATTTTTTAGGGTCAGGAACAAATTGTAAATTTTTTCCAAGTTGGAAATAGCCTTTTTCTTGTTGATATGCCTGGCTATGGTTTTCGTCAACCAGAAGGTTTTCTTAAAGCTGTTGAAGGATATCTAAAAACTAGAACTAAGTAATACATTTTACTGCCTATCTTTCAAAATGTTTTAAGCTTTAATTGAAATATAATTTCTAAAATTCAATTAAAACATATCTTCTTATTCCTTTAACTCTGTGAAAATATATTCTTCATTTTCTCTTTTCAATATAATTTTCTTTTAGAGTAAAGAATGAAAAACTATTGTTCTTCTGCAGTAATGTGTTTACTTTCAATTTCAAAATAATTTGAACTAAGGCTCAAAAATTCAAAATAGATCTGTGCTTAATTCTTGTGTCTTAAACCCTTTCACAGATTAACTTTCTTTTGATAAACACATGCCTCATGACCTTTAATGTTTCCAATAGTCTTTTCTACACCAGACTTGGTTTATAACACTGTTTGATTAGCTTACCAAAAGTATGCAGTGTTGTTTATTTTTGACACTTCATAGCTTATTCTAGCCCTGACGTTGTTACACTCTATATGTAGTCCATCTAAAAATTTGACAAGTTATTTTATTTGCTAATAATCATTGTTTGCCAAAGTGAGCTCAGCCCAGAAGAGCCCAATGGGTTTTCTCAGATTAGACCCACATAAAATAAAAAATAATAAAAAAACATTTTTGTTCACCAAGTAGGTTTTTTCAAATTGTATCAGTTCCAATCAATTTTTTTGCAATTATCAAATCAAATTGTTCTTTCAAACTATCAACTTATTATTAGTTTAACTTTGTAACTTTATATACAAGATTTTAAGAAGTAAAACATATTTCAGCTATCTGATATTTATAAACAAATTTTAATATAAATGAACTTAATATGTGAAAAAATAATGTAAATGATTTAAAAAATTTATTACCAAAATAAAATACATTATTTATCTGAAAAACAAATTATGTATAATATGCATACACTCTATGTATAATTTATTTAGATTGGTTCATGGTTTGATACACTAAACCAAACGATATATGTATCCAATATCTCAAAATGAATTAATATTTTTGAACAATACAGAAGAATACAGAAATAAGTTTTTCAGTTAAAAAATTGTCTGTAATGAGATTTTAAAAAATTACCTAGATATTCCCATTTTATTTTAATTTCTATTACAGACTATACCTTTTGCAAAAAAAAAAAAANAAAAAAAAAAAAAAAAAAAAAAAAAGGTAAAGTTAAGAATATTGAACTCATAATGTGCAGAAAATCATAATTTTGAATATAAAATGAAAAGCTAAAACATCTCATCTAATTACTCAATTATTCACTGCTTCTCTTATGGCAACTGGACTTGAAAAAATATTCTTTAATTTTTGATTAGTTCAGTTGAAACTGTGAAATCATGTAAAGACTGAAAAGCAAATTTTACTTTCTGTTATGTTTAAATACTTCAAAAAATAAACAAATAAGTTGAGTTCATTAAAATCTTAAATTGAATATTTGAAATTTATTATCTTTTTTTATTCATATCGAAGCAAAAATTATAAAAGTTGTGATATCTTGTACATTGTATGACATATAAGGAATTCATTCATTGAGAAACACAGATTAACACATCATGTGCCATAAAAAGATGTGTGCATTTCATTTCATGAATATATACAATACTTCTAAAACTTCCATTCATAACTTTACAGCAAATTATGTGTTTATTTATAATTTAAAACTAATCACATAGCTTAAAATGGCTTACATTTTATAAAGAGTCATTTCTGTAACTTCATCTTTATGCAATTCATTATCCATTTAAAAGGCACAAAAATGACTGAAATAGTTATTCTCATAGCAATTTCTTTTATTTTTCCCTGTGGTAATTATCAAAAAATATTTCTTTAGTATAGGTACACTATGTCTTGTTATTGTATTTAATATATTTAAGTATGCATGAAAAATATAAGAAAAAAACCCACTTATCTCTAATTGAAATTAGGTAATCTCCTAAAAAAAAAACCATGTGGTCTGGGCTTTTTCTTAAAAACCTGAATTTTAGGGAGCCCTGTCATAAATGGTCCTAAAATTTGTGGGCCTATGAGCTAAAATATTTAGAGTTATTCCATTATATCGTTAAATTTTTAACTTCAAAAAATAGTGCATCATATTAAAGGCTGGAGTACTGCATTGTTTCCTCCATAAGTAATAAAATGCAAGAAAATTGAGATCTGAGTTTTTCTTATTGTTTGCTTTTTAGGGTTATTCTCTAGTTACCTAAAAGTCATATTAAAGGTCAAAAAGTTTGTGCTTTCTTCTAAAAATGCTTGCAGAACACACTTTTAATTTGTGTACTTTCTCATAGTTTTTTAATTTTTATTTCGTGAAACTTTTTAAAATTTTATTATTTTTTACATTATTAATGAACCAGCTTATTTTTTGTAAGTTAAAATAATAGAACCTACCATATTTTTGACTTTGTGGTAAATAAGTGGAAAAAACACTTTATTTTTGATGTTTTTGCTGTTTAGTTTTTGTTTTTACATTAGCATACTAATAAATTAAAAATTACTTAAATTAGTTAATCAACTTCAATCCTAAATACTTTTCTTAAATACTAACATTTTAGATAAAATTCATGCAAATAAACTTTATTAAAAGTTTTTAAACAAGTTATTTCTTTATATTATCATTATGCTTTATATTATATATCAAATGTAAGCAAGTTAATAAAACAGGGTGTATAGCGTTTTTAAAAAGTGTTTAAACATACTTCTTTTTTCATTGGATATTTTTAAAAAGTGTGTAATTTCCCCATTCCCAAAAAGGAGATTTTTTCTTTACCATGTCATTTTTGCCATGAAATACACAAAAAGTGGGGTTGTCATATTGTTCCCTTCATCATTTTTACAATTCATTCAACCACAATTCATTTTGGCATACCGTATGAAATCTCCAATCATTTTGAATATTCGAGGAAAAACTTGATTATCCGCATGTGCTTGCACTGTGCGGGAATCAGTTGGAAGGATTCTTGCACTCTCATCTGCAACTCTGCTGAATTTTGCAAGTCATTCTCAAAATTTTACTGATCGTAGGGACCGATTGAACATTGCCAAAAAAAATTACCTAATAGCAAAATAAAATTTTATTTCTCTTATTAATTTCATCGCTGGTGAAACCTGGGCTTTTTTGAGGTATAAACTTAGTAAGTGACTGCTTACGGTGCTGAGTAAGGAAGTCGCTGGAGTCAAGTAAGGCTAGATTTAAGAAGAAAAAAACCTTTTTGCTGTTTTTTCCCCCATCTAAAAGTTTTCCGCTTGCTTGTTGAAAACTGAAAATTAAAAATAACTTAATCAAATAAAACTCCTAAAATAAATATTGAAAATATCTAAAACTGTGATAAGAAAATAACCTTAGATCTTTTCACTAGTGCTGATGGCATTCTGCCCATATAATTTATGATCTGCTGATGCTGAGATAACGGTCACTTAAAAGAGACTAAGGCCTGCTGAGTTTCTTTTATTGTTTCTTCAAGAAAGCATTTCAAAACAATGGGAGTGACTTGAGTATAGAAATTTCACCTCCCAAAATGATCTAAAAAATTTTTTATGTGAAGGTAACTTTTTTTCTGTACAGAAAAATGGGAAGTTGCAAATATTGGTGCAATATTGAACAGTGGTCCGTTCACAAAAACCAATTAATACAAAAGTTTTTAAGGAAAACAAGAAACAAAAGGTGGTATTTTAGTTAAAGAAAGACTTCAAAAACATAAAATTGTTTTCTTTTTGATTAGTATGAAATAATGTTAGAGTAGTATTCATTTTTTTAATTAGTTATTAAATTAGTTCTTTTTTTTCTCTATTCATTCTATTGTGTTTCATTTATATTTGTGAAATTTAAAATATTTCCAATTCAAGTTAATTTAGTTCCAATTTAAGTTGCTTAAGTTAATTATCACGTAGAATAATCTCTTAAGCTTTATATTTTTATCAGAAACTAAGAATGAAAAAATGAATGTTGGACTGATGCAAAAAAATATATTGTTCCAGCAATACCATTCATTATATCCCTGCTAAGACAAATCTGCTGGTTCAGCATCACAAAATTGCACGAAGCCAGCAGCTAAAACGATAGGTCAGTGTACACTTTCTGTCTCTTTCACTTATATGAAAGTGAATGACTGACCTACTGTGCACAACGTAGTTTGAGCCATTTACTGGCCAGCAGCTATGAACCCAGCTAAAACTATTATGCAACACTTTTTGAGATGCTGAAGCAGATCATCATTAATGAATCAACAGCTAACGATTGACAATCAGTATACATCCAGCAGCATCCCTCCTATTTATTCAGGGTTGCTAGAGATCATTGACCTATCTGGAAGGGTAATTGATAACCCCAAATCTAATACCTAAGTAAATATTTAGGTATAATGAGCCTAATAGTCATTTAAATAATTAATTAATAAATGAACCAAGAAGAAAATTTTTAAAAAGTATTTCTCGTACCATTGAACAGCCCAGAAGATGTGCCATGCATAAGCCACATGTACTCTCATAATACATTTATTTTAAAATTGGGTATAAATATAAAATAGTTTTTCCCATATAGAACTTAATTATTTTGAAGTAGAATAATAGAGCTACTTTCCAGATTAATAAAAGTTTTGTATTTCCTTTACAATTAAATGTGGAAATTTTAACTTGTTGTCATAATATGTATAGTTTATTAAATAAAATAAAGTTAAAAATTTAGTTCTCAAATAAAAGCTATGCATTTATGAGATAGTTTAATATCTTAGACAGAAATAAATAAAACTTACAGTTGATAATGCAAAGAAGCTACTTACTGATGATGATTATTTTATGGTATTGACCATGAATTCATGTTTTAGTGATTATATTTTTTCTTGCAGTTAGTTTTCCCAGAAATAAGTGCATTCTATGAAAATGAATGAATTCTTATTGTCTAATAATTGAATGTACTTGGAAGTTAGATTAATATATAATCAAGACTGTATCTTGCATAAATTTATTTAAATGCAAGGATATATCCATTAACAATACAAAAATTACACAACAAATTTTTTATTTATAGATCTAA